ATACGAGACGTGGAGGTCAGACGCGAAGACAGGCTCCACGAAGGAAGACGTTCGGAACAGAGAGCGTTAGGCTCGCTGTTTATAAATGAGTATAAGACTCATTTTGTCGAATGTTACGTTTTACTGTAGAAGCATAAGGCTTCTCATTGTTCAGGCGGCGAATATAAGGTTCGCTGGCCATTTAGTGAGTATAAGACTCACGAAACGAGGAACCAGTAGGAGGGTTCGGAAATCATAATTTTCGGTGAGTTGACATAATTATCCTGTGATTTGATATTGTTGTAATACTACAATTCTTTATATTAAGTGGTATGTATTTATTAGTTAATGAACATGCATAATATTTTCTTATATAATGCTATGTTTATTCTTTGAAATAAGTGCAATTAATTAATTTGTAAGTTTTCTTATGTCATTTCTTTGTAATTTCAGTAATCAGCTCATAAACATTTGGACAAACAAAAGGTTGTTTATCTGAATTTCGACCCAATCATCCTACGTTCCAGCACCACATTACGAAGGTTCGAAAATTATGTTGCTGTATCACTACGAAAGTTAAGTGCTGTAACATTACAAAACTTAGGAAAGCTGTGCAACTTGCCCGTGAGACCCACTTTATTTGCTGCTGACCTGTACATTTAAGGACTAGGAAGATGGACAAGGAAAAGGTCCCACAAAATGCCCGATCCCGAAGGAGGAGGAGTGTGTGCAATAACAAGCAAAGAAAAGTAGCTTGAATTCGAGAGGTGCGGAAGTGAACCCGCCGTGAGAAGAAGAGTGTCTCCACTAACCAGGGAAGCCTTCATTTCGTATTTGCAAAGGTATGAAAAGGAATTTAAGGAATTAGCTAAGAAACTTAAAGAGCAAGTTAAAGTGATTGATGAAAAATTAATAATAGGTGTTTCCAATGAAGAGATCAAGCTAGAACACCATATATTCTTATCATATGTAGATCAGTTTTATACTGTTAAAGAAAACGTAAGTAGCTTGTTAGAAAGAACAGGATTCTCAGTAAAAAATTAAGACTATGAGGAACACCAAAATTGCTTGAATGATATGGAAGAAATAGAATAGTATGTCCATGAAAATAATGCAAGGTTCGAAAAGTGGCTACAAAACCCAAGCAGGAAAATGTCAAGACCAAGCCAATGTGAGAAGTGATCATTTGGTCGAGCATGAGTAAAAGTAGTGTTGCAGAAAGTGTAACCCAAGCAATGCATAATCATCAAATGAAAGGGAACGTGCAATGAAAAAGGAGAAAGATATATTAGAGTATGAGAAAGAGAAGCAGTTAATTAAAAATGAAAGAGATGTAGCTCACGCTAGACTTAACGTGGCAAAGAAAATTAAAAAAGGTTCCAAAATTAGTTCTTATGATCAAGAGCAATCTAAAATTCCAAAGGTTGAAGGGTTTAGTGATCCTTATGATTCCAGGCGATACGGCTTACGTGGCAACAGGACACATGATGAAGACAAATATCAAGGCTGGAGTGTAAATACCTTTAAATATGGAGACCTACCAGATATGCCCAATTCAAATTTCATAGCAAAAAGGGACTCATTCGTCAAAGATATACGAAAATCCAATATGGATATTAAGCCATTTGATGGTAACCCTCTTGACTTCAATAGATTTATGAGACAATTTCGAAGAAAGGTACTAAACTACTGCACTTCCTATGATGAACAGTTAAACTACTTAGAACAATTTACCTCAGGGGAAGCAAAAGAAAGAGTACAGGAATTTACGAGCATGAATCCAGAAAGGGGGTATGAGGCAGCCTTGAAAGAACTTGAGGACTGTTATGGGAATAATGACGTTGTAGCCCAGGCTTATATCAGGAAGGCTTTAGATTGGCCAGTAATTAAGGGAAATGATGTAAAAGCTCTTGACAAATTTTCCCTATTTCTCACAAGATGTAAGTATGATATATTAAGTATGGATTCAGTTAAAATTTTAGAAAACCCAGATAACATGAGAAAACTTGTTATGAAATTGCCATACAGAATGCAAGAAAAGGTGGCGTACAATTATCTGCGAGAAGGGTGATGCCTCTAAGCCTATAGTATTTTCAGACCTGGCAGAGTTCGTTTCAAGGGAAGCCAAGAAAGCCAGGCATCCCATCTATGGTTTGGATCAACTAAACGAAGGTAAAACTAATAACCCTAAGATAAGGCAAGTATTTACTACGCAAGTCCAAGAAAGGAAAATTAGGAGAAGTAGTGATAAAGACTACGGAAATAAGTGTCATCATTGTAAGGAAATTCATAGGCTACTTAACTGTAAAAGGTTTAAGGAACTTGAATATAAAAGGAAAGTTGAACTAATAAGGGAAAACAAATTGTGCTTCTCATGCTTAAGAACTGGTCATAAAAGCTCTCAATGTTTCAAAAAGGAAATTTGTCTGAAGTGCAATAAAGAACATCCCACAATAATGCATGTGGAGAGAATGTTTGATAAGGCTAAGCAGAATACACCACTACAGGACGAAATTAAGAACCTAAAGGCTGAATTAGAGAAATTAAAAATTGAAAACATGATGTTACAAAAGAAGTCTGAACAACAAGAAGCTCAAAATCCCAAGGAAGTGGTAAATGTAAATGCAGAAGCTTGCCATACATTGTCAAAGGTAACAGAAAAAGTTAAAAGGAAGAATAGTCACAAAACCATACAGACACTAGCGTTCTTAGATCCAGGTTCAACTACAACTATTTGTTCAGAGAAACTAATGAATGAGCTAGAATGTAAGGGGAAGAGAGTCACATACAACTTAGAGATCCTTACCGGGAAAAAGAAGGTAAGCTCGACGGTACTGAAGGATCTAGTGCCTTGACAGGAAGCGATTTGGTAGACTTATCAAATGTTAATTCTCAGGACAGTATAAATATTTGCATTGGGTTTATGCCTTCAAGGGAAGACTTAAAAAAATGGCCACATTTAAAGGACGTAGAGATTCCACAATACGATGGAGAAGTAAATCTATTGATTGGAAACAATAACCTAGAAGCATATAGACCATTAGAAATTATATCAGGAGAAGAATATTGCCCAATTGCTGCCAAATCAAGAATAGGTTGGGTAATATGGGGTCTACTGAAATGACAGGGACGGATCTTGTAATATCCTATAAAACTACTACGACAGAACTTAATAAGTATGAAGAACAAAAGGGCCCTGACCATTTAGTAAGAGAACTAATCAACATGGAATTCCCAGAAAGAATTATAGATGATAAAAGGGAAAATTCAGTTCAGGATAGGTTGTTTTTAATTAAAGTTCAAAATTCAAACTCGTAGATGGCCATTACGAGATGGAGTTACCATTCTATGATGAAGAGTTAAAGATTCCAAATAATCAGAATTATGCAAAATTAAGACCACAGCATCTTAAAAACAAGTTCAGCAAAAAACAAGGATTTGCTAAAGAAGAAACAGCCTTTATGGCCAAATTAAATGAGAAGGGATACGTAGAACAAGTACCTGAATCAGAGATAAGCAGAAATGACGGAAAGGTATGGTATATTCCTTACCATGGAGTATACCACCCAAGAAAAGCGAAGTTGAGAGTAGTCTTTGATTGCTCAGCTAAGTACTAAGGTAATTCATTGAATGATCATTTACTTCTAGGTCCAAATCCAACTACCAAGCTTCACAACATGTTACTCAGATTTAGAAAGGAATCTGTAGCCATCATGGGGGACATTAAGTCTATGTTTTATCAAGTTAAAGTTCCTGAGAAACATAGGGATTTCTTACGTTTCTATTGGTGGCCAAAGGGTGACCTGAACATAGAACCTAAAGTGTTTAGAATGATTGTACATTTGTTCAGTGCAATATCTAGCCCAGCCTGTGCTAATATGGCTTTGAGACAAGTCGTAACAGACAATCAGGGACTTTACGATGACGAGGTAATGAAATGTATTAATGAAAACTTCTATGTTGATGATTGTTTGAAATCTGTACCAACGCCCAAAGGAGTTATTGATATGATCAAGATTTAAAAGATTTATGCAAAAAGGGAGGATTTAATCTAAGAGGCTGGATCAGTAACAGCAAGGATGTATTGGAATCAATTCCAGTAGAATATCGCATTCATCAAATAGACACATTAGATCTAGATATACAGAATTTGCTCACAGAAAAAGCTCTTGGACTCGTGTGGTCAGTCACCACAGATAGTTTCGAGTTCAAAATAAATATAAGGGATAAAAAAGAAAATGGAAGAGGAATACTGTCAATTTTTAGTTCCTTATACGACACCTTAGGACTGGTCTCACCTTTTACTTTGCCTGTTAAGTTAGTCTTACACAGTTTGTGCAAAAGGGGACTGATATGGGATGATCCCATACCTGATAAGGAAACAAAGGAATATAGGAAATGGATAAAAACAGATTCTTTGGAGAATATTAAGGTTCCAAGATGCTTAAGGAAAGTAAAAACTAAAAATGCTAAAGTACAATTACATTGTTTTGCCGATGCATGCAATAGTGCGTATAACATTGCTATATATGCAAGATTCCAATACTCTGGTCAGAACATCGAATGTAACCTAGTGGTAGGAAAGTCAAGGGTAGCACCACTTAAGAAGATCACCATTCCCAGAATGGAATTAACAGCAGCAGCTGTTGCTGTGAAACTGGCTAATGTAGTTAGTAAGGAGTTAGGCCATCATTATGAAAGCAACTTTTTCTGGACAGATAGTACTTCGGTATTACAGTGTATTGCTAATAATACCACGCGCTATCACACTTCCGTAGCCAGTATATTAACCACAATTCATGAAGGTTCGAATGTTGAAGAATGGCACTATATTGATTCAGATTTGAACCCTGCAGACTTAGCATCACGAGGAATGTATGGAAATTGTGAAAAAAAGAAAATAAGTAGATAGTTCCAAGGTCCAGAATTTCTGAGCAAACCTACGTCAGAATGGCCAGAATCAAGGAACTTTAAGTGTAAAATTATACCGGACGAAATGACATCGAAGGCAGTCCATGCAGCGGTACTTAAGGAAGATTCATTTATGTCTAGTTTAACCAATAGGTGCTCCACTTGGACTAAACTGAAAAGAGTTGTCGGATGGGTAATTGCGGCATGCAAGAAATTCAAACAAAAGAAGAATAGAGAAATTGATAAGGATATCATCTTGTTAAAGGTAATTCTGAATGAAGCTGAAAAATTAATTGTACAATCAGAACAACAAAATTACTTCTCAGAAGAAATTAAATATATGGAAGATAATAAAACATTAAATGTAGGAAAGGGAAGTCCATTGTACAAACTAGATCCTATAATAACTGAAGGTGTTTTAAGAGTAGGAGGCTGACTCAGCCATAAACAGTCTAATGTCTCTAAACTGATCGTAAGAGAAGCCCACGTCAAGGTAGGACATGAAGGGAAAAAATGCCATGATATCATATTTAAGAGAACGGTTTTGGATAATTAACGTTGCGGCAATGGCCAAGAGTATAACGGCTAACTGTGTAAATTGCTGTAAGTATAGAACCAATCTATGTGAATACAAAATGGCTGATTTACCCAAGGAAAAAGTTACTCCAGAAGAACCACCGTTCACTAAGGTTGGACTAGACTACTTTGGTCCTTTTGAAGTTAAAAGAGGTAGTACCACAGTAAAACGTTATGGTGTAATCTTTACATGTTTAGCGTCAAGAACGGTATATTTGGAGATAGCTCATTCCTTAGATACAGACTCATGTATAGCTAGCTCAAGAAGGGGTGTGGTCAAATATATAAGAAGCGATAATAGAACAAACCTTGTCGTTGCCGAAAGAGAATTAAGAGAACAAATTCAGAATATTAATTGCAAGGTAATTAATGATCATCTCATCAGCAAGGGAATAGAGTGGAAACTTAACCTTCCTGCTAGCTCACACTTCGGAGGAGCATGGGAAAGAATAATAAGGTCTGTAAGAAAAATTCTGTACTTGTTGGCCAAGGAAAAATTTGTAACATTAGATGATGAATCTCTAGTAACAC